TGACACCAGTACCCCAACTGCGTAGACCAATGGTCTTGATGTTGATCACTGTATTGTCTGGTCCAGACTAGATTATTTACAGACCTCCGCCATATAGCTGGAATATTGCTAGGTGCGGCATCAAACAACAAACACAAATATCCAAATGTTTTGTATACAGCTTCCTCACGGTAAAGTGTATTGACTGTGTTTGTGTGTTCTGACACAACGTCAAACCTCGTACGGGCTGATTGCTCTCTTATTAACTCAACACGTGAATCCACCGGCTTATACAGTCATGACCCTACAAACCTTATAGAAAGAAAAAACTGATGAACCCATTACAAGCTGATACCTTTGTTGGACATTCACAGCATGGATCTTCGTCTTGTGGTAACTGCACGTTGTCTGTTTGCTCTTGTAACAGATTGTGTTTGGGGGGTGGAATGCAATAGCGATCCCTGCCTTACAAGTAGAGAGACTCTATCCCCTAGAGTTATTATATGACATAGCTGTATAGGGTGTATCTCGGTGGGTGAGACAAGGCAGGTACTTCTCACCGCCTCCCTTCCGTGAACTCAATGATCTTGTAGAAAAAGCTATCACTACTACTGTAAGCTCATTTATAATACATTTCTTAAACACTAAATTTCAACAGTGTGAGAGAAATGACATAAAAAAGATTAAATTCTATTGTGATGAATGATGTGATAAAAAGGCTTAGGTAATAACTGCGAGTCTCGTTATGTTTGGAGAATGTTCTGTTTTGACGTTTCGTGCTCTGACCAACACACAAGCTTTGAGGTGACAATTCCACTGTAAAATAGTGTATAGTGATCAAAAGACCGGACGCTAATGCGACTCGTTTTCCCGAATAACAGAATAACACGAGAATAGAGTCTATTGATAAAATAGGTCAATGGTCACGTATAGTTAAGTCACATGTTGGTGTCGTCAACTATCAGGGCTCTGTATTTGCGCGTCTACTTTGTGTCATAGTTGTGTAAGCAAAAGATCACAAGTTGTGTTCAGCCTCATATCCAACCATCCATATCCATCCTGCTTTCCACAACGACATATGGAAATATATATGTTGTACAGCGGTAGGTGTTTACAAGATTGCAAGTCAGTGTATTCTCAACTAAAGCCTGAATGTATGACAGTGCGTAAGCAAATCGACGGACATGAGCTCTTTATACATGAGATAGTTCAGCTGTTTCTATCATCATGACTGACGGATCAATGTCAAGCACTTACACCAAGCTCTTTATACATGAGATAGTTCAGCTGTTTCAATGTCAAGTAGTTATACCAAGTTCTTTATTATACAAAAGACAAAACACGAATCCCTGTTCTAGTGTATTTTGTTTGTCATCAACGGATGGAATAGCTTAACGGTAACATGCACATGTCAAGAATAACCCAAGAACTGCAACGAAAATATTTTTTTAAACAATGTGGTGATAAGATCGCAGCACACATAAGACAATTAGGACCTGTGATCGCCAACGCCAGTCATTTGTGTGCACAACCAGGAACAGATCTTTCATTCCCTCTGTCAATGTCATGATTTCCGACTTCCCGAAGCGATTATGCAGTAAGCAGTTTGTACCAGTAACATATCGACAGTTATGCATAAATCGACAAAGTTCAATGAATTTAATTGTTATAAAAGTTCAATTAATTTAAACAGACTAGTTATTTCCGCGCCATTTGCATTTCACGTCTTTCAGATGACAGTTGAAACGTTATTTCAGCGTCTTTTCTTTACGATTGCATAAAATTAATGTATTCTCGAGTGACAGGCAATCGTAAACTGGATTCGAAGGTACATGAAAGAAGATAGGTAAAGTTGAACTCCCCTTTATCAATTGTCGTTAACATTTCGATGATGTTCGTAACTGCGACATGTGGATGATACTATCAACATTCGGAACATTATGAAAGTTTTACATACAGTTTGCACGTTATTTTCAGTTGGAAAATGTAAATACTAACCGACCATGTACTACCATCTTAGACCTACCAAGGGTCATACTGACATGAGCATCGGATATAACCCGGGACCAGTAACTCTTATTCTGCTGTTCTGATGGTGTTAAACAGCTTCAGGTTACATTTATCTGTATACAGGGTTCTATTTATTTTTCCACTTTGGTCAAATATACACCTGTACATTCGTGGCCTTCTCGCAAGTTGTCATCTATTATACACACTTATCATCAATGCGCCGGTTAAACTAAATGATATCACTCTGTCGAGACAGCAAGTTGTAAGTCTCAATCCAATCCAAAGTTTGAACAGCAATTTAGATTAGTGAGTATGTATCAAATATGTACGGCAGGCAGTCACAGATCCCAGTGGCTCACTAATAGACTAATTCTTTACTCACGCGGGTAAGAAACGTAAGTATCGTAAATTATTACTGTATGATATAGGCATTATTCTCAAGTTTATATGGCAATTGAAAATATTTGACAATAATGTGTGTATAGCTCAGATATCCCATTGTTCTACTGCTGCAAACAGTTTATGCCAGTTCTGTTAACGTGATCGCGTATGGGATATGTATTGTGAGTAATGTACAATGTATCTTGTGTAATGAATCGCTATCATGTTTACCTACATGTGTTTCGTATATGTGTACTTCTATAAATGATTGTAACATGTTATTTAACTTGATATTCTCCATATTCTATTGCAGACTGATGATGCCTAATGATTCTGGGTCAGTATAATAAACTACCATATGTTTCTTTTCCCAGGTCTTGTGTCTTGTGTGGGTTGGCGGTACCTCTGCCAAGCGAGCTGATTCCCCAATCCTCGTTTTTACAGTACCGATATTCAAGCGTTGAAGGCCTCTCTGTCAGCAATGTTCAGATTGGGTCAAGTTTCTGTGTGACAAAAACGACGGGAGAATCTACACACAGTATCAGGCGTTTTTCTGTGACAATTGTTAAACACAAGGAAAATTGTGACGAGTCGTTAGTGCTACAACAGACAACTGTGTGAATACGAGTGAACCTGTAATCTGTTCATGCATTTCCCCATGCAGACGTAATCAACACATCTACGTACGTCGATCAGCTACAAACTGAGCATGAAGATAAATGACGGAGTGATTTGTGTTGATCAAACTGAAGAAAGTCTCGTAACCGTAATCAGCATATAAATATAGCTTTATTCGAAGTTTATATTGTAAGGCGCATGTATACATCAGTGCATTAATTAAGCACCACCTTATTTGGGAAATAAGATGTGATGCTACAGAAAGGTTAGGGTATAGCCATTAATTTAATCAACCTATAGTTAAAGAAGCTTTATCCACTGACAGTTTTACAAATACCGTAACCTTTTCTATTATTTATGAAAGAATATGATGAAATGTGATTGGACTGATATTTTACCCAAAATAACTATTCCTCTCCTGCTGAAACTACACAATTAACTTACGTTTTGACCAAAAATAACAAGTATCTATACCAAGATGACATTTGCACATCAAGTATGCTTTAATTATGCATAATTAAGAAGAACCCGAGTGTCAAAGATTCAGACCTTTTTTGAATAATTCAGATTGCTAATTGTCAAAAACTGAAAAAGGCCACATTAGTAAGATTTTGGAATAATTTCTTTATGATTTTGAGTTTATTTTATTGAATAAACACTGTTAAATGCTTGCTCTATCAAATTATAAAGGTTATTTTTCGGAAAGAGTTTAGAATTTCATTTCAGACAAAATTAATTGGTAAAATACAGAGTGGTGCTTATTTTATGCACGGATGTATATTTGTAAGTTTTGACTTCAATCTAATCATTTTTATACGCTGTAAACGCTGGCACACAGAACGAAAGTCAAGACTTTACATTTATTTTTTACAAAGAAAACAATTGGAAAGGCATCTCGTTCATATTTACATGTACACACTTTGTGTAGACAAAAGTCAAGTTGACATGTCAGTGAACAGAGTACAAACAAATATGTCAAAGGGTAGTTACAAGGTACAAAAATATGTCAACGGGTAGTTAGAAAGTACAAACAATATGTCAAAGGTCGGGTTCAAAGACATACTGACACATTCCCGCCAGTGCATCAGCATTGCATATTTATGTGTACCTCGTAAAACAACCTTGAATGGGTTTTTTTAAATGAAAATAAGAGACCAAGGGGCATGGAGTCCGTATGGCTGAATATGAACACCAGTACCACCATCAGACACTAAACATGAACTTAAACATTTGGAGACATGTTTTGTAAACAACATGGTCACCCGAATTCACCACGTTATACCTCTTTGCATCAAGCTTTACGTTTGGTATATGATTAGTGCGGCTGAGTGAGTTTAGCTGTACGCCGCTTTTAGCAATATTCCACTAATATCACGGCGTTGAACACCAGAAATTAGCTTCACTCATTGTACACATGTGGGGAATCGAACCCGAGTCTTTGGCGTGACGAGCGAACGCTTTAACAACTAGGCTATCCCACCGGCCCTGGTATATAGTCCAGTCAAAATGTGACAAAACCTTTAAAAAATTGGTACAGAAATGAGTGTTTTCAACATGTGTTAAGCTATAACTAATGAGTACTAAAAAGTCATCCCTTGAAATATGATGCCGAGTCCTATCTTGGGGGATAAAAAGTTGAAAAATTGATATTTTCAGTGAAAAATATGATTACAGTTTATATTCACACTTGCACATAATCATCCCAGGTAACCTACATGGTGATTCTACGCATCTGATGCAGTGTAGTTTGTATTACTCATGTTTAATTTGCATTCACATGTAAACGTTCTTCGTTTGACAGACCAAATTACGAAGCAACAGGCAAAAATACTTCCCTAGTTTGTAAACCCTTAGGTTATAAAAAGGGTTATAAAAAGGGACATTCTAATAAATCTTTTCCGCAAATGTATGAAATGTATTTATGTACGCTGCTAGGTGATAGAAAAACTAATAAATTTATTATTATTCTATTTTACGACATGATAAGTACCCCAGTTATATCACGGTGTGGAAGGAAAGTCCAAGTTTTGGTGATAGCCAGGAGCACGGGTATGGAGCTGACACAAAAGCATGAAATGTGAAAGAAGCAAACAACTTCATTTGACCTTTTGGGTCATTAAACTATAGCTTAAAGAAAGCAAAACACAAACATCAAGTAGCAAAAAAACACACACAAGAACAACAACAGACAAAAAACTAAAAAATAAGATACAAAAGAACTTCATATCCTCATGAGAAGCTAATCATCTCACAATGTTGTCTTTTCTGTTTTCTCTGCACCGTTCCATCCGCACTTATCTTATTCACTCATCACTGATAGAACACTCAAGACATTCTCGGGCTCCCTACAGTCGCCATAACTTGAGTAGACAGAAAGGTCACCAGACTATCCAACATAAGCTTTACTCTACACAAGTTCCACATTTCCTACAATTTACTATAACACGGAATATTGAGGCTGATGATTACGTTTAAGAGGCGACATGTAAATTGTGTAGACAGTGCTTGGTACTCGTTCCTCAGCAACAAACACGCAACATTAGCGTTCCATTTAATGTGGGTCTGATACTCCTGCGGTCGCAGATTTAGGTTGACAAATTATCACATGGAGCTCGATTTATACGTACCTACCCACCGCCACATTTTTCAGCGACCTTAAACTTCGACTCTCTGGAAAAAACACTTCAGTGTTGGTAATGAGGATTTCTCAGTTCTTGACCTCATTGTGAAGGAGCAGTTCATGTAAATTATTTTGATGTGTACGTTTTGCAATCATGGAGGCTGTTTCGTCACGACCATTCCGTGCGTTGATATCAAGCTTATTCTGTGACAGAACAACCCGCACAATTTCCTCATTTCCTGTTTCACAGGATACATGCAGGATGTTGTTTCCGTCATCATCCAATTGTAATAGATCAGCATCTTGACCCAGCAGTAACCGAATCACTGCACTGTGTTTCCTCAATGCTGCCCATAACAGTGGCGTTCTCCCACGTCGTCCTTGACTGTTGATGTCCACCATATCCTGTGAGAGGACATGCTCCACCATGCCTACATGTCCTCCCATGCAAGCCACGTGTAGGATGTTGTTCCCCTTGTCATCCAGTAGTGATGCATCAGCTCTCTTTGCCACAAGCAGGTCAAACACACCTCTGTGTCTACCACGTGCTGCAAACATCAGAGGTGTTGCCCCATCCTTCCCCCTACTGTTGATGTCAACATTTGTCTGCGAGAGGACATGCTCCACCATCGCTACATGTCCTCCACGACACGCCACATGGAGTACATTGTTACCATCGTTATCTATGTGTGATATGTCACATCCATATCCGACAAGTATGTCAAACACCTGTTCATATCCTTGCTTTACTGCCTCCATCACTGCTGTCCTTCCATATCTGTCACTACTGTCGACGTCAATCTTTGAATCAGCGAGGACCTTCTCCACGATTACAGTGTGTCCTCCATGAGAGGCATAGTGAAGGATGTTGTCCCCATCATTATCCATAGACATATAGCCAGCCCCATTATCCAGCAGATACACAAATATGGTTTCCCTCCCGTGCCATGCTGCCCACATTAAGGAGGTTCTTCCGTCATTTCTTGTTCGGTTGATCAGGTAAGGTTTTTCTGTGACCGCATATTTTACAATGTCCATATTTCCCCCGACACTGGCCATGCTAAGAATGTGGTCACCACCACGGTCCGTTAGTGTCATATCAGCTCCTCGTTTGTGAAGATATTCAAAGACGTCATGGTGCCCTTTCAATGCAGCCAACATCAATGGTGTCAGTCCATACAAACCTCGGGTGTTGATGTCTATTTCATCACCATTCATGAGCTGTTTCACAGTATCGAGGTTCCCACCATCGCTGGCCATATGGAGCGGGGTGTCTTTAACTGGCCCTTGATGTAACCCTGTGTTGAAATTTGGATATTGTTCACTCTTTATGTGGACAGCTGATAACATGTCAGGTGATATTTAATGATGTTACAAAGGAAAGTAACTATGAGCTTAAGTTAATGCTCCTTCACACAATACTTCAGCGTTGTTATATCGCGGAATGTCAACTTAACGTGTCGGGAGGAAAGCCCATACACATTCCAGGCTGCGCCATTTTTATATTAGAATGTGGTGAATAGGAAATATCACATTAGACTTCACGATTAGGGGACGCAATTAGATCAAATGTCTTGCATGTTTTACCCTCAATAAAAAACGTATTTTTTTCCTTTTCGCCTTTCACAAATAACCATCAGCAGTGTTTGTTTGGTGGGTTTTTTTTAGCTTCTATCATCTCACGTATCCATGAGTCTCTTTGCTTGAGGACTGGGAGAATAGTATGAATACAGTTAATTGTGATTGCAGATGAACATTGCCATCAGTGTAAATGTTTATGAAAGGGGATGGGTGGGGGCGAGTTGAGGAAGGGCGGGTGTCAATGTTCACGAGTGAAATTTATACATTTGTCACATTTTCCGTAACATTCTGTTTATTACTCTTTCTCTTTCTTTACAAATTAATTTCTAGATATTGTTCCGGTCTCGTTACATGTTTCTCCAAGGTGGTTTGCTTTTCCGACGAACGTAACCTACCGTTCTATGACGACATTACATTACAAACGGGATTGTCAACAAAAAAGGAATATTTTTGAAACTCTCTCCCTTACAAACTCTTTTTTAAAACGGTAACAAAAGTGCGTTCAAAACAACATTGTGCGGGTGGTGAGGCTCACTGACTTGGTTTACACATGAATCGTATCCCATTAGCGTAGAACGAGCTTTATGCTGTTGTTCACTACATTGTCTAGTCCAGACTTAATTATTTACAGACTGCCGCCATATAGCTGGAATATTGCTGTGTTCGGCGTTAAACAACGAACAACAAACAAAACTTCATATATCAAAGATCAATTTATAAGTGAGTTCTGCTCTTACCTCTCACCAGTGGCATAATAAAAGATAACATGTGGCTTTAAATGATTTGTTTTTATCATAATTTCTTTTTGCGTGACGGGTACATATTATATTTCAACTGCCAATTATATATATATATATATATGGCACGTAATAAAACAGGAGAATTACAAAATGAGCTGTAATTCCCATGGCACGTGAAACACTTCTAACAGCGAGCTGACTGAAAAATAAACACAAGCAGCTGCTGATCGTACAATTGAATTGATTCAAGCAAAGACTCAGTGATTTGTAATCTCACCTGGATCTGAGCCGTTTGTATCTGAGAACAAAGAGTACATTGCGGAGTGTTGATGTGGTGCAATGGCTCCTGCACGAAAGCGCGATTTTTACGCCCAGTGGAACTTGGTTCGGAGGATAACCAATAAATTATTTTCCTCAACGATTGTGTCTTATATTTCTTTTGAACTGGGCCATTTAGTTCCATTCAGAAACTATGCTCAGTCAACAATCAAAGATCGTTTTAAGGCCAAACATTAATAAAAATAACACTCCACTGGGAGTCGGCTCGAATTGTTTCGTTTCGATTTCAAATCTACAAAGAACAGGTTTTCAAATGAACTTGGTTCAAGTACAAGGGAATACGGCAATATACATTGTAGAGTGGCATGACCGGTGCACATGGTTGTCTTGAAACCTTTCAAATTGATCTATGCTCTGCCAGGTCAATCTATGCTATTGTAGAAAATTCCAGAACACAAATGACACAAAAAGCAGCTACATAGCAACATTCACACTACTACTTACACAAACCTGCAATATATTCATCACAACAAGTTGTCATGAACTTCTTCTGAATCTTAGGTGAAACGATGTAACATAATTATACCTTGTTTGGTTTGACAAGTTACACTCAAAAAAGGACAATACAATGGTGACATACAGAAAAGCAGATTCATCTGCAAATGCCGATTCCAAACTATTTGAGGTGCCACGATATATTATAAGAATATATATTTTAATGAATCTAGAAATGGGGACATGGCGTTAGCTGCAGCTGTTACGCCTGATGAGACTCCATCCCTTGGAGCTGGAAGTTCATTTTTCAGCGCCTGAGTTTAAGGTTATCTTGCTAGCTCTAATGAAGAAAACCAGATTTGATATAGCTTGTCCCGTCTACAGGCAATCAAAACCGTAAACAAATGGTCTAAGATGAATGATTTATTGATGAAATGAAAGACCCACTCAGTGATTTATACTCTCACCTGTATCGTCCTGCTTTTTCGCACCTGAAAACATAGACGACATTACATTACAAACGGGATTGTCAACAGAAAAAGGAATATTTTTTGAAACTCTCGAAAAATGACTTGGTGCATTTCAGTATTTGTCCCTTACAAACTCTTATTTAAAACGGTAACAAAAGTGCGTTCAAAACAACATTGCGCGGGTGGTGAGGCTCACTGACTTGGTTTACACATGAATCGTATCCCATTAGCGTAGAACGAGCTTTATGCTGTTGTTCACTACATTGTCTAGTCCAGACTTAATTATTTACAGACTGCCGCCATATAGCTGGAATATTGCTGTGTTCGGCGTTAAACAACGAACAACAAACAAAACTTCATATATCACAGATCAATTTATAAGTGAGTTCTGCTCTTACCTCTCACCAGTGGTTGTCCCAGGCCATCTGAGAAGACATAATAAAAGATAACATGTGGCTTTAAATGATTTGTTTTTATCATAATTTCTTTTTGCGTGACGGGTACATATTATATTTCAACTGCCAATTATATATATATATATATGGCACGTAATAAAACAGGAGAATTACAAAATGAGCTGTAATTCCCATGGCACGTAAACACATAAGAGCAGCTGCTGATGGTACAAGAAGAATTGATGATTCAAGCAAAGACTCAGTGATTTGTAATCTCACCTGGATCTGAGCCGTTTGTATCTGAGAACAAAGAGTACATTGCGGAGTGTTGATGTGGTGCAATGGCTCCTGCACGAAAGCGCGATTTTTACGCCCAGTGGAACTTGGTTCGGAGGATAACCAATAAATTATTATCCTCAACGATTGTGTCTTATATTTCTTTTGAACTGGGCCATTTAGTTCCATTCAGAAACTATGCTCAGTCAACAATCAAAGATCGTTTTAAGGCCAAACATTAATAAAAATAACACTCCACTGGGAGTCGGCTCGAATTGTTTCGTTTTGATTTCAAATCTACAAAGAACAGGTTTTCAAATGAACTTGGTTCAGGTACAAGGGAATACGGCAATATACATTGTAGAGTGGCATGACAGGTGCACATGGTTGTCTTGAAACCTTTCAAATTGATCTATGCTCTGCCAGGTCAATCTATGCTATTGTAGAAAATTCCAGAACACAAATGACACAAAAAGCAGCTACATAGCAACATTCACACTACTACTTACACAAACCTGCAATATATTCATCACAACAAGTTGTCATGAACTTCTTCTGAATCTTAGGTGAAACGATGTAACATAATTATACCTTGTTTGGTTTGACAAGTTACACTCAAAAAAGGACAATACAATGGTGACATACAGAAAAGCAGATTCATCTGCAAATGCCGATTCCAAACTATTTGAGGTGCCACGATATATTATAAGAATATATATTTTAATGAATCTAGAAATGGGGACACGGCGTTAGCTGCAGCTGTTACGCCTGATGAGACTCCATCCCTTGGAGCTGGAAGTTCATTTTTCAGCGCCTGAGTTTAAGGTTATCTTGCTAGCTCTAATGAAGAAAACCAGATTTGATATAGCTTGTCCCCTCTACAGGCAATCAAAACCGTAAACAAATGGTCTAAGATGAATGATTTATTGATGAAATGAAAGACCCACTCAGTGATTTATACTCTCACCTGTATCGTCCTGCTTTTTCGCACCTGAAAACATAGAAAACAATGGACATGTGGTAATTGTGCTACTGAACAAAAACGCGATTTTTATTCCTGGTGGAAAATGTTTCGGATATAACCAAGTCTCATTATTCTCACCGCTGCGTCGTATATTTTATTTGAACTAATGTTTCTTCTGGATGGCTGATGGCTACGATTTACATACATTTAAAATGTTTACACTTAATTTAACCATACTTGACTGGTTCAGGCCTGGGCATAATAAAGCCGCACTCAACCATTCAACCACTCAACCAGAGCCGTAAAAACCATTCCATATATCAGACCCGTTTAAATCCGGGTAAGACTCGGTCTTCAACAACCCAGGCTTGTTGTGAGATGACTAACCGGATTGGGTTGTCAGATTCGTTGACTTGGTTACTTAGTTGACACATGTCATCGTATCCCAGTAGCGTAGATTGATGCTCGTCTTGTTGTTCACTGCATTGTCCAGTTCAGACAAAACACACGAATCTCCTATTGAAAACGGACGAACCCATAGCGCATAACATTCGCTAGCTTAAGCAAACTTATAGCAAAACTCTCCAAATTTAAGCATAACTTAAGCAAATTTCCGCATGTTCTAAATTTTCGTTGTGTGTACCTTGACTTTCCTATCGTTGTGTTTCGCGTGGGTTGGAGTTTATGTTATTAGATTTAAGAATCGTTTGCTACATTATAAGATGGAGTGCAATGAACTGCTCGAGCAAATAATATACGCAGATAATAATAAAAATGACAACAAGCGGCAGAGACTGGTGGCGCTGGTGATCGACAGCAAAGCCAAACAATACTTCGGTGGAGACCCTGCAAAATTCACAAAATTTCTGCCGAAGATATCGACAAGCTGTACGTGAGATACGAAGCCACAGTCGGTGCTGAAATTACGAAAACCATAGGATCAATATATGTCGGCATCGCGTCATACTTCCTGCCCACTCTGCTGGAACATCACCTGTACATGTGCAAAGACCTCGAGAAAGATCCGTTCATTGACCACGCTTTGAGCTCCATCAGCTGCGAAATGTTCCACCAGTACGGTATGCTACTGGCTCCTCTGACCACGGTGATCATCACGGCGAAACATTGCATTTAAAGAAAAATATAATAATTACAATATGATACAAGATGCCATCGTTCCAGATCAGCAACAACCGACGGAGGCGGATCAGCAATCACAACCAGTGATTAATACCGTAACAAGAAAAAGGAATCCCCAAAAAGAAGCCATTGGTCGCAAAGGCTGGTAAGCTAAAAAGCAGGAAAAAAAATCTTCGTCAATGGACCCCATACGCCATAGCACTGGCATGCATCACTGTCATCACTGCATTGCTGCACAAATTCAAACCGGAAGCGGCACCGGCACCAGCAGCACCGCAATTTAGAAGTAAACCCTCATATCATGTTAGAAGTTTTTTTGAAAATTTATTTTTTATCCTATATACAACGATGTCGACCCCTAATGGAAAAAACATTCGTCAACGATATGTATCACGCCGCAGTGATCAGCAGACTGACCATAGGCTATGCTCAATTGAGCAAAACCAAACAACCTGCAACCAAATTTGATTTCAAGACGTAGGCATGCTCATATTCGACTTGGGACTGGCGATGGCCACTAAAGGCATGCTCGTCAAGCAAGGCATCATTCCGGAAAACATATTGAAATAAAAACAATTTTATTGATCGCGATGATGGTCGGCGGGGCATTAGTCAACGCCCTGGCATTTACCTTTTTTCCAAATTACAAATTACAAGCGAAAATCACAGCGTTCGAACATTCAAGAACGTCGACGACGCCATGCAGGAATACTACACATGCTCACCAGCAAACGGCTCAAACGTCTAGGCAATGAACCCACGCTATCTCAGTATTACACAAGATTAGTCAATGCCCTGGCATTTTCCGGCAACAATTACCTTTTTTCCAAATTACAAACGTCGAACGTGGCCAAAATCGAAGCGGAACGGAAACGTCACGATTTGGCCGTGGAGCCACACTGCAGGCAGCATAAGACGAGTATGAAAAAACACGCATGTAGAGAATCGATTTCATCCAAGACCAACTCACGTGTGAAAACCACACCATTCGAACGTACAAGAACGTCGACGACGCCATGCAAGAATACTACCTGCTCACCAGCAAACGGCTCGAACGTCTAGGCAATGAACCCACGCTATCTCAGTATTACACGCCTTCCCCGGATCAGAAAGACCGGGAGCTGATCTTTGTCGTGCTCGGTTTAGCCCCAATCGTATTCATGACCAACAATTAGACTAAAACATATTTATGTGTATATAAAGATGGGACGTCGTGCAGCGTATCATTGTCAGTACTTGCTTCTCGAAAAAAACGAAACCTGCGGCAGGAAATGCACCACCGAAAATTGCGGCATACACATGATACACATGTCCATTTCTTCAACTATACGTGCGAAGTGTGCGGCATAAGCATAAAATGTCATTATCGTCATTGCAAAGCCCACAGAGTGGACGTGGTCCGAGGTCATCTCATCTACTTGACAAAAAGAGATTATCTCAGCGAATGTAACTGACTACTCAGAATTTTTTTTTTTTTTAAATCAATCAATTAGAGATATGATTTCGCATCTGAATATAATTATATATTTTGGAAAAAGTTTTCACACATTGATATAGCGACAGTGATTACCCTTCGAGCATTGAAAACGATGGCAAAAGAACGCGGCGTGGTTGGTTACTCCCGATTGAAGAAAGACCAGCTTTTGAGGTTACTCGACATTCAAGACATCAAGCCTCCTCCCAATGTCAAAGAGCTCAAACTCCATGCAAAGGACCGTGGGTTGAGAGGTTATCCCAGCCTGAGGAAAGCTGAGCTGATGGAACTGCTAGAGGAACAAAAACTCGTCGAACTACAGTTCGTGCCGACGGATGCGGAAGGTAAGTATCTGAGAGGCTGGCAGATGACCGTCGGCAAACCCATGGACGTCAAGAACATTTAACCGCTGATCGGCGACAAAGTTGATGAGGAACTGAACGACCTGGAAAGCCTCAAATTTAAAATCACGGCGAGAATGTCCCTCTACAAACAGAAGACGTCCAAGACCACCGAGCACGTCCAGCCCTACTTCATGGGCAAACAAGAAGTTGCGACCCAACCCCAGCCCATTGACGCGTCCATCGATGCCTCGTTGCAAAAAATACGAGAATCCCTTGAACACTTCACACACAGGGGTTCCGGGTGGGTCTTGGACAGCATCGAATCCGTCTATCAGACATAGCCAAGTACAAATGGTGTACGATTTCTACTACAACGAGCTCAAGAAGCAGTATGGTGACCAGTGCGAAATGCTGTACATGGACACGGATTCCCTGCTGATTGAAATTCTCACCAAAGACAGTATAAGGACATGGCGAAACATATGCACCTTTACAACACCAGTGACTATCTGAAAGACAACCCGAACCACAGCCATGACAACAAAAAAATGCTTGGCAAGATGAAGGACGAATGCGCGGGCACGCCGATCGCTGAGTACATCGGATTGAGACCCAAAATGTATTCCATCGAGAAAGCAGACTATGACGAAATCAGAAAGGCAAAAGCCGTGAAGAAACACCTGGTGAAAAACCATGTCAGATTCAAGGCAGCCCTGTCCAAGAATAAAACGTTCAAACACCTAATGAACAATTTGAGAAGCTACGGACACAGGATCTACGGGATCACCCTCATTGAAACGTTGCTGTCATCCATGGATACCAAAGTATGGATCGCCATCAACGGTGTAAGTACACCATAATATTAAAGTAAAAAACCTAAATGCATAAATCATGGGAAAAAATCTATTACAGCCCATGCGGGTACTGGAAAGGCATGGCCTCCATCCCGAAACTTGCCAAAGCCGCTTGAGTCTCCAAAGAAAAAGCCGAGGCGTGGGTTAAAAAAGCTCTCTGGCAAGTTTACCTGCCCGGGCCTCGGACCATCCCGAGAAGAAAATTCAACATTTCAATGCTGAATTGTGTCCATCAAGCCGACCGCCTGTTTGTAGATGTAAAACCTACAAGTATGCCCTGACCGTGGTGGACCTTGTCAGTCGCCACAAGGAAGCCGAACCGTTGACAACCAAAGATTCAAACGAAGTTGCCAAAGCCTTAGAACGCTGCTACAAATACAGTCGCTACACCTGGCCTACCGTCTTGCAAATCGATCCCGGACACGAGTTTGTGGGAGCCATGTTACAGCTCCTGGCCAAGCACAAAGTCCAGGTGAGACGTGGCATGGCCGTAGCCCACCAAAGCCAAGCCATCGTCGAGAGATCCAATCACACCTTAGCTGAATGCCTGTTCTCACACCACTACTGGCAGGATTTAATCCATCCCAAACACAGAAATACGGAATGGGTCGTACGCTTGCCGCAAGTGATGGATGCAATCAACAACGAAGTCACCAGACTCGGGGGCAAGAGACCCATCGAAGCCATCCAATTGAAATGACCCATCGAAGCCAGCCAAATCAGCAACAGCGGCATGTCAATCGGAAAAGAACATTACCAGACCGGGTCAGCGTTAGGTACTTGTACCAGCAGGGTGAATACGAGGGAGAGAGCAGAAAACGAGCCACCGATCCGATATGGTCCATGAAAACGTACAACATCGACTTAGTTGACATCAAAGACGGCAAACCATACTTTTACTACTTGAAAGACGGGCCGCCGAGAGGGTTTGTCAGAGAGGAATTACAAATTGTCCCTCATGACAGGGTATTACCCCATATTAAAGATTCGAACCCTTTTTTTTATCATCATCATGTGGAGATTGATCAAGGAACAGTTGTCCAGTCACATCGGGCTCGACGTCGATGACCTTGATATTTACTCAGAAGGGTGAATACGAGGGAGAGAGCAGAAAACGAGCCACCTATCTCATATGGTCCATGAAAACGTACAACATCGACTTAGTTGACATCAAAGACGGCAAACCATACTTTTACTACTTGAAAGATGGGCCACCGAGAGGGTTTGTCAGAGAGGAATTACAAATTGTCCCTCATGACAGGGTATTACCCCCATATTAAAGATTCGAACCCTTTTTTATCATCATCATGTGGAGATTGATCAAGAAACAGTTGTCCAGTCACATCGGGCTCGACGTCGATGACCTTGATATTTACTCAGCCCTACGTCGAGTAATTTGTCGTGGGCAATTCACGACCCTGTACGATAGTTTAGGTCTATGTGGTACCAAACGGTTACAATATCTCATGGATACTTTAGTAAATTATAGCCTTAAAACCAGAGAACGCAACGCCCCGTACTCAACCTACTCCTTAGCTGACCTAGAGGAGTTTATGGCACACCCCTTCCATAAAGTCTTCGCTATCCAGTACGACTACACTTAAAGAAAATAAACGTCAAGGGAGACAAAAATACTATTTTACTATGTTCGAAATAAGTAAATAAGTTCAATTACAAAATACCAAAATGCCACCTGTGGCCACAACCCACTGAGGGAGAAATATTGTTTGTTGGTGTTGTTTGTGGTGCGTTGGTGTTCTCCCATGGGGTTGTGGTCGACTGCGCATATTACCAAAGGGCTCTTGTTTTGATACCATAGTGATTCAGTGATGAACAGTAGGCTTCGAACCTCAGTAACAGAGCTGTGCAACTCTGCACCATGATCGTACCTTGCAGTCATCGACTAATCCACAGGGGACCTGAAGACTGAGTGTTTAAACTTAGTGCCTATGCTGAGAATTGCATCCTCCTCCTAGCTGGGCCCCGTCTATATTATCGCAAGGGGAGCCTGAAACCAGTTTTATGACGTCATTCCACTTCCGCTTCAAAGTTTGAAAATGAGGTCACTCGCTTCGAAAACTTTTGTTGGCTTTTTACCTCGGGAAAGGTCTAAAAAAACACGATGCTCGTAGGTAGTCTCAACAACGCTTATCACGATGAATGGGTCGATGTACGCTGAAATTTGTTTTTAGAAGCCACAATCCATTATTTTAGAATCGAGTTTCTTCAGCTTTGAAGGCGTATGAGCTATATATAGCTTTAATGCTCTGTCAGTTGTAGAGCGAGTCTGCTGGTATACAGGGAACAAGCGGGACCTCGGACACAGAGTTTTGGCGTTTGAATTCCTCCCGTTGTTGAATCATTTTTCTTTTATTCAATCCAAAGATGAACGTCAACGTTCCGAGCGAAAACGCGGTTTCACTCCTGGTGGAAAATGTTTCGGAGGATAATCAAGTCTCATTATTCTCACCGCTGCGTCGTATATTTTTTTAGAACTGATGTTTTCTTCTGGAAGACGGATGGCTACAATTTACCTACATTCAAAAACTATACCGATTTAACTACACTTGACTGGATCAGGCCTGGACATAATAGAGCCGCACTCCACTGAGAATCGAGTCGACTGTCGACTCTGTCACGTTTCAATTTCAAATTTACACTATACGTTTACCGAGAAATCTGTTCCAAAAGAAACCACCAATTCATATTGAAATTGTTCTCAAATTAACTTGGTTTATGTGCAGTATATTAAGTGTATACACCGGAGTGTGGCAATACACTTACTCTGGAAGAATTCAAATTACTATAGCAGTGGTAAAATGTATATTTACTTCAACTGGGCCGATGTTTCTCATGGCGGACAGATGTCCATGACAATAAACTATAGTCAATAACTACAGGTAACTACAAGGAAATGTTTGCACCATTATAATCAATCCACTCACGCACGTACACACGCACGCACACATATATACATGCACACTAAACGGCAGTTATCAGTTTTCACAGGTTAATGTGTTGAAAAACGGCGTTTGTTTCTTGCATAATCTGAAGGATTTGTGGCCGAAGAATTTCAACCGTTTCACGTGGCAACGTTACATGGTTACACGGCCGCGCGCAGCGATATTAAAGATACATGACGGCGGTCTGTAAATAATCGAGCCTGAACCAGACAATCCAATGATCAACATCATGTGCATCGATCTACGGAATTAAGATGCGATGACATGTGTTAACCAAGTCAGCGACCCCGAACACCCGATCCTCTGTTACATTGCCCTGGATGTCTACCAAATCTGTTCTACAGGTATGGGAGATGGCGTCACACATCATTACTCTTTCGCAACCAAACCTTCCACTGCAGTTTCGAGCATAACGTTCCCCACGACCTCTGTAAACACGGCGTCTGCCGTCTGTACAGTGAAGCAAAAAACGTGACTCGTCACTAAACCGAGCACGTCTCCATCGGTGTTATTGCCATACTCTGTGTTCTTGAAACCATTGAAATCACAGCCGATGATGCTCATCAGTTAGAATGACTGTGTCGGGCGGATGCATGCAGCGTGCAGACAGTTCCTCACTGTCTGGGCTGAAATCCTTCGCCATCCCTATCATTGCTGCAGCTGTAGAGGTGACCATGGTAGATCTATCATATGAACCTGTCCTGCTCTGCAGTTGTGACACGGGTTAATTGGACCTGGGTCACGTGTTGACCCGTGTGTGTGACATATTGTCTAGTTTGGTCTGTCCATAACATGATTGTCTTTTTATGCCGCCGACGCATGACGCGAATATTGCTGTACAGCGCCAGACAACACACATTGCTACCACTGGGACAGGAACACATGCTTACCCTTTTTACAAATATAGGGTGTCGTCTGAATTTCAGTGGTCCATTCATATAGTTATCGCCACTAGTTTGCCTCAAGACCGGTTATCTGAGGTTTACGTTTCATAGATTCATCGTTACATTGTTTCATTTTCTTGATTGAAATTTGGTTGTTCAAAGTTTCAACATTAAAGAGTCCCGAAAACAGTATTACGATTATTGTTTGGCCTAGCTATGAGAAATAATCTTGGAATGTCTTGTCTATATCTTTTGACGGTGTAAACAAAGGAGGAATATTTGTCCTTCATATCTATTCTTATCCATCATTATTCTCACTTATTTGCGTAAGTGTGAATAGGAGACTTTATTATGTGTTTTAACGTGGTGATTACCTGTTTTTTTCTAGGGTTTTGGAATAAACGAAAAGTAGTTTAGCCGCCAGGTAAAAGGATATATTATTTAAGCAATCACATTACACGTCACGCTATATCTTCAGTCTAAGTAGAAAATGAAATAAAATGTATGTTAAAGTCACACTTACATATTTTCTGTCGACTGTAAAGGAAAGATAAAAAGTACTTAAACAATTTGAATACTTGTACGAGAAAATTCTACAAGTCATTGTACCATTCTGGCATATTAAAGATAATACGTGTTTGCAATCCTTTATACAAAAAGACATATTTTTTTCCGAGAAAATACTTGACATTGTCAAAACAATATTTAACTGTCTGGCAAAAGAAATCACATTATTGAAAAGTATGTTTTGTTGATAGATACTTCAGATCATGGTCTTAATACAAATTCATCTTGTTTTGCAGAAAAATCTTGTCTCCTTACAAAATCCTCCTCCCTACACACACTGGATTCTGTTTTAATGCATTAACTTTCCCGTTCACAAAGCCTTCAGGCGCCAGGAGCATAAGTTTTTTCTGGGTACGACAAACATTAGACGGCTAAACAATCGTGAATATGTGAGTAGGTGTATTCTTACCATATATACAATGCGCCTATTAGTAATAGGATGAATACAAGCACACTGGCAGCAAAACCAGTACCAAGTCCTGCCCACTTTGCTGCTGAGATCTCCTGTGCCTTTCCTGTGTGTGGTTCCTCCGTAGCTGTATACAGATTATTACAAATAACCAATGTGGCGGTTATTTCTAAAAAGATAAGATGGTGTGTTTTATCTTCATTCAAGACAAGAGACCATGTATACTGACACACTGTCTCTGCACATTAATGAAGTGGCCCCAGGTCCAGCACGTTGTGGGGTACAGATAAACACCCACTACTTGAGACTACTCTGTTTACAAAACAATAAGCATATCATCTTTCAAGTTGCTAGAGAGAGAGCGAGTTGGGTTTTACGCTGTATTCCAGCAATATCACAACGTGGGACACCAGAAATGGGCTTCACAGACAATGTACCCATGTGGAGAATCGAAAACGAGTCTTCGGCGTGAGTGAATGCTTTAACCATTGGGCTACCCCGCCGCCCCTCAAGTTGCTAGAACATGTATGTGCAGCTTTTAACAGAAATGAACAAAATGACTGATACCAAAATGAACAATATATTCATAATGATACGGAAAACAAAAACGCGATTTGGGTTGGAAATAATTCGTTGCAGGACATAACTGTGTCTCCACATTCTCATTTGTTTACCTTTTTCATAATATTGAAACATGAGAAACATATTAATATGATATTAAAAATATGCATTTGCCCTTTTGAAAGGAAAAGGCGGAAAAGTTCGTATCACGTCTGACGTTATTGTCATGCGGAGATATATTATATCAGTCTGTGAAAAAGGTACACATATTTCATGCGATGAGCCGAACTGCATTTGTTTTATCCATACCTGGAATTTCACAAAACGTTCCTTTTTTGCCATCTGTGCATCCCCTTGTGCACTCTCCAGCTTGCTGATTGCAGATGTTGTTGATGCAGTTCTTGCTGCACTGTCTGTTGCACTTGTCGTCATACCAGCCTTGAATACATCCTTCCGCACAACGTCCACTGGTCTTGTCACAGTAAATACGGTTCGTACCAGAATATACTCTACATCGCGTAGAACAGTTTTTGGCACAAGCGTCTCCGTATGTTCCCGGTGGACAGATTGGATCACCTCTGACATGTAGTCCTGAAACAGCATAAACAACTTTACGAGGAAAGAAAACTTCTTCCGGATTACATGATCCACAAACAAATACACGAGCAAGATAAACATATCTGTATCATCCACAAATGACTAAATTACTCATTTTCTATTCCAGGGACATTCGGTTTTCAGTATTTTCAAAATATATGTGAATGCTTAATGAAGACATTTTTATTCACACACTCACCCAGTATGATCGATAGTAGGCTCAGTATCAGCATTGCTGAGGAGATATCCTGCCCTTTCATCTTTCGCCTGCAATGATATACGTCACGGGCACTATGGAACAGCAATAAGATAACATTACATTTTTCTGGGTAAAGATATGTTGTGATGACATTGTCCCCCAGTCTAATATGGTTTGCAGTCGAAAATGCACATTGATGGTGTTGCGTTATCGTCACTATCCATTAGCGTGTGTGTGTGAATTAATTTAAACAAGTTCAGAAGTGGTTATACACCTTTCAAATACCGATGTCTTCTGTTAATTCCGATGGTTCCACAGTTACAATCCAGTTTTGCATTTTTCACCATTGCTTTAGAAAATATGTTATGTCATTATTTTCACTTTATACGATGTTTTCAGTTTCCACAGTGTTTTTGTGAACTGTTCAAAATTCTCCGTCCCTGACAACTTTTGAAATAGATGATGGGAATCTAAGATGGTATTATTGGTTACAGTAACTGCTCGGTTCACATTTTCACCTTATCCTATCATGATCTAAAATTATTGATGATGGAACTCTTTCACCTCAAATTGACATGCGCATACATACGTCCGTAAAGAAAGAGCTAAATCTTTGTGTTAATTGGTCGTTGGTTATGTGGGGTTCGAAGGTTGGTTGTTTGTTATTTAACGCGGCACTCAGCGATATTCCACCTACATTGCGGCAGTCTGTAAATGATCTGGTCCAGACAACCCAGTGAACTACAGTACGAGCATCCATCTATAGAATTGGGATACGATGACATGTGTCAACCAAGTCAGCGAACCTGACCACCGATCCCGTTAGTCGCCCCTTACAACAAGCATGGGTTACTGAAGATCAGTTCTAATCCGGATCTTCAAGGGTCGAAGGTCGAAGGAAGGATGTCACAATCTCCCGATAGTATATTATTTCAGATTCATGTGAAGTGAATACAAAACTACTTTCTAATATAAGTACAATAACAAATTCCCCCTTTGTGCAGATTGCGATATTAAATATCATAAACATGAATGAGTGCATATGTGAAACGATTCGGGATGAAATATGAAATCGATTAAGATAAGTGTTTCTAGTGCATCGTTCCACAGTTATTATTTTACAGATTTAAGATGAAAAATGCAGCAGAGAGGGTTTGGGTGATCCTCGCACAGTCAGGCTGGTAAGGCTCATCATCATCTCAGGGCCCTCGCCCCCTCTACACGCATCCCAGACAGCGAATGGGACTTCTCCTTGGAAACACTGCCTAGTCGAACCCACCAAGAACTTTCCGGAGAATATGTAGACTCCCCAACACTGCAGCCTTCTGCATTACCCAGAGTGTCGGAAAGGCTGTGCTCCCAGTGGAGAACCCGGGCACTCTCCTGATCTGCACCAAGATATCAGGAGGTACCAAACCAATGACACCGATAACAATGGGGAGCCTGACGACAGTGTATTTGGGATGCAAGCGAGACATTTCAAAGGCGAGGTCTGCATATTTATCATGCTTTTCCTGAAATTTGTTAATCACATTGATGTCAAATGGGACAGAAAATTCAATGATATAAATAAATTCACTGGCTTTATCAAATAGCACAATATCAGGTTTGTTGGCAGGATTCTTCTGAGGCTGTATATGGGCCTATTCCACAAAAGTTTGACAGCACCATTTTCCATGACGCCCTGGACATGTTCAGGGTCGTACCATGGATGGACCTCGGGAGTCAAAGCCACAAGCATGGCGGAGACGGTAATAAAAGCAGCGAGCCATGCCATCATGTCTCTTTAGATGTGCCGTTTGTGCCAAGGAAGGGCATCCACTGACAAGGTGTTGGACAGTCTCTGTAAATTCATTACACGGTCGGCATTTCATGTTAATATTTTCCTTAAGAATCACATTTTGGCGATTACGAGTGGGAAGTGACTGGTCCTGAGCAACAAAAACGAAGCCGTCAGTTTCACATTTGAGACCAGCCGACTACATCCAGGCAAAGGAGTCGGTGGGATTGCTATTCTGTTCCACACACTGCATGTACACAGGATGCAATCGAGATTTGTACTCAGCCCGAAGTTTTTCTTGAATCTGGGCATTTTGGAGCTTCTCTCAAACTTGCATTCCAAGATAGATGTAGGCCGGATCTTCCACAAGATGCTCAATAACTCCTTCCCCCCTGTAACTTGACTGATCCATCATAAGTTACCTTGCCACGTTTCAAATGAAGAGTACTACATTTGTCGAGCCCAAATGTCATGTAAATATCATTAGAAAAGGACTCGACAAGGAGAACCAGCTTTTTCAAATTGGTATCTCCTTTGGCAAGGAGCTCGATGTCATCCATGTAAAGGAGATGAGTAAGCTGTGTTGGGGATCTGTGCTGAGGAGATCCGGGATGGTAACCCTCCTCTCCATTGAGCAGAAAGCTCAAAGGATTTAGAGACAAACAAAAAAGCAAAGAACTAAAGGAGTCCCCCTGGAAAATCCCCCTTCTGATTGGAATAGATTCCGAAGTCTGCACCTGCCCTTGCGAGTACATCTCAAGTTGAGTCGACAAGCAACTCATTCAAGACTTGAGTAAATCAAGTAGTCGCTCAGGGAGGTCAATACACTGAAGAGACTTCAGAATCCATTCGTGAGGGACAGAGTCGTATGCTTTTTTGTAGTCAATCCAGCACATGGAGCGGTTGCGGTGATATGGATTAGCCTCTTCCAAAATCATTTTTTGTACAAGAAGTTGATCCTTGCACCCCCAACATCCCTTTCTCGCCCCCTTCTGCTCTCTGTAAAATATATCATTGGAAGAGCAGTAAGATGACACGAGATTTGTTAAACACCCTGTGAAGATTTTATACTGTGTATTTAAACATGTGATAGGGCGGAAGTTTTTAGGATCAGACAAGTCTCCTTTTTTGGGAAGGAGTATTGTGCGACCTTTGCAGAACCATGGTGGAACATCACCTGTGTCCACAAGAGAATTGAAACAGTGAAGTAATGGTGTTTGGACACAGGGGAACAGTTTCCAGTACCGGTTTCGAATGCCATCAGGCCCTGGAGCTGTATTCGATTTGGACACTTTTCAGGGAATCTGGTGAGATGTAACAGACAAACGACCTAGTTACTTTCTCATGTATTGCACGTTCATAATCACGGACCCATGGTGCCTCCGGGTTACAGTCGCCGGGTACAGACCACAACTGTTTCCAGAACCTTTCATTGGCATCCATGGGAGGACGTTTATCATGTTCACCATCACCGTTTGTTTTAAGTTGCCTGTAAAAGTGTTTTTCATTATTTCTAAAAGGTTTTCTTTTGTTTGATGAATATATTTTTCTTTTCCCATTTTTGTCTTTCGTTCAGTCCAAACATATATTTTTTCCTTCAGGGAATCGACAATTTGGAGAAGTATCTTTCCTTTAGTTGTTTTGTATTTCAGTTTTAATTTTCTCCAAATTGCCTTTTGTGTTTTAGACAGGGGATTCCCTGATGATCTTAACTTCAGGCAAAGCTCTATCTAGGAAGTATATTTTCTAGTTTATTTTTATTATTATTATACTGTCCCCCAAAAAGAAACGCATCATGAAAATAGCAATTTCATGTAGCAATGAATTAAAACGTGATTCATTTTACAAAAGGTTTTGCTCTGTTTATGAGTACTATGGTGTTTATGTTTTGAAACATCACAACAAAACGCACCATCCGTAAAATACCCATAGTTCACAGCATGATTTTCAATTTCGGCGTGCAGTGTCACAGAATACACAATTCACATGCAATGCACGTGAAAGTTGGGGATCCGATAGTCTCAATGGTGGGTATAAAAGGTTGATCGCTGTCTGTCGATTATTCACTGTATTTGGAATATTGTCGACGAACGCAAAATGGCACGTCTAAGTGACGCCAACCGTCATATCGCCATTGGTTTGCTTGAAGCTGGCCAGTCTCAACGTGCAGTTGCCCGACGCATGAATGTTCACCAAAGCACCATTTCACGGCTCTGGGAGAGAAATCGCCGCAGAATTCGGTAGCAGATGCCTCTCGTAGTGGGTGACCTCGAGCGACCACTGCCGCACAGGATCGTTACATCCGGGTACATCACCTGCGTCATCGAACAGCTACGGCTACCACTACCGCTCGACAAATACCCGGATTGAGCAGGCTTTCTGCACAGACCGTCAGGAACAGGTTGAGAGAGGCTGGTTTACGTGCCAGAAGACCTTATTTTGGCCCTGTGCCTCGACAACAACATCGTCGACATCGAGTTCAATGATGCACCAACGTTCAGGCCTGGAACCTACCGAATTGGCGCAGAATCTGGTTCAGTGATGAATCACGATTTCTACTGGAACGACGCGATGGAAGAATGCGGGTGTACAGACGTCGACGTGAACGTTTCGCCGACGCTTGCGTTCCCCAGGTGGACAGATTCGGCTGGGGCAGTGTTTTGATGTGGGGAGCAATCACCTTCCGTAGGAGAAGTGATTTGGTGATGATCTTGGGCAACCTGACAGCTCAATGGTATTGTGACAAAATCCTACGCCCACACCTCCTTCCAATCATTGATCGCCAGAGGGAGTTGTTTCAACAGGACAATGCCAGGCCCCGCACAGCACGTCACACTAGAGACTTCCTCCAGAACCACAACATCAATGTGCTCCCCTGGCCCTCAAGATCACTGGACTTAAACCTGATCGAACATCTAGGGGATGCCCTGGACAGACGGGTGCGACGCCGTAACCCTCCTCCCCAGACACTTCAGCAACTCGCACAGGCACTACAGGTAGAGTGGGCTGCGATTCGGCAACACGAGATTCTGAGACTTATTCGTTCGATGCCGTGCAGTTCTGGATGCCCACGGTGGTCACACGAGGTATTGACTTCAGCGCCACCACACGTCTCCATGTGATACTCAAACTGCCTTTCCTCGAGTTGGTGCCAAAGACGGATAAGTCTGCATTCCCAGTGTGCAATTTCGCTATATTTCATTGACTCATAAAGCCTACAAGATGTTTCAAAATAAACATAAAAAAACAGTTGAAGTTCTTATATGCGTTTCTTTTTTGGGAGAGTATATTATAGGATATTTATATAGCGCACATATCCACGCAATCGTGCATGCTCAAGGCGCTGGTATTTTTTCCCTCCATCATTGGATGGCAGTCTCAAAGGCACAACATATTATCAATCGCAACTCCCTTGGGTGTATACAACTCTTGCAGCCACTAGGTGCACCGAGTTATTGTGGCTTTCTCATCCCTAACAAGGTACCCATTCACAGCTGGGTGGACTGGGACACATAGTCACAGTAATTTGTCCAAAGTCACTGCACGTTGCTGTACCCGCAGCTAGGTGTTTGCACGTATTCATGTGGTCACTATCTGGTCACATACCAACGGATTCGTGTGTTCTCTTAAGTGCACAGGGCTGTGTACTGTACACTAGGGGTTGTGACAACACTGAAAGAGTCTGCACAGAAAGCTGACTCCAAGGTTTCTACACCCGGTCACAGGTGGGCTCGATCCCGACACCTCAACCTCGCTGGATCACTAGCCTGGCGCCTAAGCCTGCTCGCCCACCGCGCCCCCAGTAGGAAAATATAATAGATACATCGATTTATTTGTGATTTCTCATCCCTTGCATTAAGTTTATAGTATTCAGAAGATAGCATCGAAGAAAATTTAATGTGATGTATGTTCCTAATCTACAAGCCCTCGAAACACCGATCTCTTGAAGGAATACCCTGAGGAAGTAAATCATTGAAGCTATCCAACAACGTGTTCCCTTAATCGGTAAGGAATTACCGTAAGGACGTATGCAGTTAGATTCGATGTATCATAGTTTCATCTAATATACTGAACATCATTGAAAACGCACCACTTATAAAAGTTCATTAAAAGCACGTGTAAGGAATTGATATTGATACCGCCATTTGCATTCACACATGCAGTTCAACGTCTCCTCATTGAATCAATAAACGTCCGAATAGAGTTTTCGAGGATGGCATTCCACTTCTGTAGTAGTGCAGCCTCAAGTTCCCAGATGTTTCGCATCTGTTGTCGCCGCGAAAGACTTTGACCATACATCTGGCGACTGTGCTGGCCAATGAATAACCTGGATGTGTTGTTGGGCCAGATACTGCATGGAAAGTCTTGTTGTGTGTGCCCGTGCGTTGTCCTGTTGGTATGGACATCTTGGTAGTGATTGAAGACAGATACCATGTGATTCTGAAGAATCTGCTCACTATAATAAAGGGCATTAGCTTTCCCTTGACAGACATGAAGGCAGTCCTGTGATTGTAATTTATCCCGCCCCAGACCATGACACTCCCACCACCCTAAGGTCTGTCTGAACCACACACTCATCAGCATAACGTTCACCACGTCTACGCCAAATACGTAATCGGCCGTCAACATTACGTAGATGAAGACGTGACTCATCAGTGACTACCATACCATGCCATTGTTGTAACCTTTACTGAAAATGCCTGCTAGCCCATTGTATACGCTCATTACGGTGTCTGTCAGTCAGAATTGGTTCAACGTAAGGTCGTCGAGCATGGAGCCCTGTAGCGTGTAGACGGCGTCGCACAGAGTCAGCGCGGATGACCCCCATGTCAACCTTGAACTAGTGCAGCAGTCCTGGCAGTCGGCAGTGTTCAATCACTGATATGGACAAGGTCAATGTGGCGATCCTGATGGAGCGTCGTAACACGTTGCTGCCAAGGTCATTGAAGGTCACGGGTGCTACCTGTCTACTGATGTCGACTATGAAGCCTAACGATGGTGGAGTGGCCAAATCCAAGTTGTCGAGCAATATCCCTGCTGCTGGTGCCAACCTGAATCATGTCTAGTGCACGTTCTCTTTCGTGAGGTGTTAACCTCGGCATCTCTGTCCTCGTTTCACAATCGTTAGTGAAGCAATGAGAATCGGTTCTCATACACCTGCTTTTCATATCACATGACATTTGCGCTTTTTTCGTGGCGTGGCTGCATGTTGATGCATTTTGGAATTAAGAGTTATACTGTGGACAGGAATTTGTTTCTAAAGCATTTTTTTCAACTGGACATGCCCTTCGACTTCATGTTAGTTATATTCATTGATCATTATCATGCTGAAATCCATCTTGATGAAAATATGGACCATTTTAGACTGGTGCGTTTTCAATGATGTTCAGTATAAATCTTGGAGAATTGAATTTCGCGAATTTCGCCGTCATAGGTCTGTGTTCCCTCATCGATTTAAAGGTTGCCCGAGATACAGATTAGATACATATTAGAAGCAATTTCTAGAGACAAGGTTTGTTTTCATTTTCAGGAAAGAAACAATTACCATTGCCAAGGGCGATAATGAGGCAATTTCCAATGATAAAATATATAAATGGCTCACTTTTGTTCAAAATAGTTTATGTGAAACTGGGCTATGTTTAGTTGGCACAGAGCTTCATACCATCATCCTCGTTAAAGGCAGCTAGTTCAAGCAATGTCAAAAATATAAAGAGGCAACATAGAACACAGGTGAACGTAATTTTCCAATAAATGATTGTGTTTTTAAATTATGTGAAATGAACAATGTTGGCGTGAAATACCATTATCGTTTTAAATGGACATACTATCCATGCTGATGCTCGAATTTTTTATATCTTGTTCAAGTAATAATATAAACCAAACATGCTCATAGAACACAGAACTGTTTAATTCTTCAAGACTCTTTATTCAGAAGACATTTAATATACTGATATAATCGTGAACGTTGTTAAAGCTCCTTGTTAACATACTGTCCTCTGTCCGCTTCATTATGTTTTGTGTGTTTGTACCTCAACTGACAACGTTGTTGGTTTGACTGTGGTAACGTTCTGTTCCGTTAAAGGCATCGGTGAATGCCAACCTACATACACAGTGTAGCAGTCGCACAATATCTCATATACAAATTGGTACATGTGGGATATATCTTTTCTTCTTTTACTCATGATATTTTAGCAGTGGCCAGGAAAAGATCCTATTTTCAATGAACGTGTACGTACCCTTTTACTGTGGAACTGCATGAAAACTTTTAGCAAAACTCTTTCATTCGTACAAACAAAATATTCGTGTAAATACTCACAATCTGGAGTCACAACTTACTCCTACTCAACCGCTCCAATGTATCGTTGTGCAAATAAACTGAGCATGCGTGTCAAAGCCAGCACGTACATTGAAATGAGCGCGGTCTCAAGGAAGAACGTCTTTCACTCTGTTACAATAGGCTATTTATACATATGTCTGCGTAACTCCATTGTCACCGTGTGTACTATACTGTATGGATTATACGTGTAGACGTATTAGTCAGTATAGTGTGCTGGCTTGGTAAAGTAACGATTTATAACTTGCGCTTAGACTTAAAGGCACTTACGAGATTGTAATAGTTTAAAACCAATGGACAAGTGACAAACTATTATCGACATATCATCAGCGTATCGTAATCAACAACAAAACATATTTTAATGATATATTTATGTTAGTCACAGATTTGAAATCCATTTTTTGTTTTATTTTGTATCTGTCCAATGGATATCAGTGCTACGCTTTGGCTCTATGTCTGTATCAGGGCATTACGTTGAAGGGGCACAGGAAACCGTGATAATTTTAACTTTGATATGAAAAGAACAACACTTTATTGGCACAAAGTATACAAAAATGCATTTCGAAATGAATTCAGGGAATTGGTTCTATTCACAGTTATTCCAGACGTTGATAATCTGATATTTACCCCAAACAATAAATGTCAAAGTCAGGGATACTGCATTTACATGTGTGAGAGAACTCATGAGACAGTGAATTACAGCAAATATACAGGCCAAAGAACAAAACTCAGCTGAACAATCCAAAGCATAAACATAAAAAGACAATGGACTAGTCTCATAAAAGGAACAAACCGACATTGTAAATACTTTACAAAACCTTACCATGAGCTTACTTCATTCACTAAGACCGAGAACGCATCAACTATTTACAAGGAGAGAAAAATAAGTAAGGGGCAAGTTCACTTCTGAGTCCATCAAGTATTTGGTAGGTTTCTGGATGGCGCAAACTATAATCAACAAACCCCCTTTAACAATCGCACAAACATATGTTCGTGTAACGCAGCCAAATACTGGTCAAAGCAGATGTTTGAGTAAATGTAACAGTGATCCCAGTATCATGACTACTTGCAAAGGTACCGATGTGAACATCGGTTAGATCAGTGATAATGTCTCTATGTGTGTGGACACCTTTGAAGCAGATAAGATCCAAAAAGCACAGTGTAGCCTACGGGCTATCTTTCACACCTCGAAAGTGGTAGTGAGGAAGGTTGCATTCACAATTATGTTTCACTGGACATTCATCTGCACAGCTGGTGTTATATATTTGACATACGTTGGTTGATCGCCGACGCCGTTGTCCTTCACTAATTCAGAAGAGCCACCTGAAGAAACTTCACTGCCGAGAGCTACCTGCAGCTGTTCCGCCAACGGAGGAGTAACATCAGAGGAATCACATTCTTGGTCCACATCTTCATCTCGAATTTCGTAATATCTGTTTGATGGAGGCTGATACTCTACTATGTAGGTGTCTGCTTCATCGTTCCTGTAGATTAATTGAAAAGGTTCGTGTAATTAGCTGCAGTGAACGAAAATATATGAAAAGACAATCGGTAAATAGGAATATAACACTCGCGTCATTGGTGAACATCCGGTTTGGAATTCTCCTTCAGCAACCCAGACAGAATGACAAAATCATGCTGACGTGATTGATGCATGTCATCTCATTCCAGTTTGGTAGATCAATGCCCATGATATCAATCACTGGATTGTCTTGTCCAAACTCAAGTAAATTACGTGGCAAAAGAATCGACTTGTCACCTTATCACCGACTACATATGACCAGAAAATAGGTTATGATTATCATCTTACAAACAAATCATTTTCCATTAACTTAAATTGCATTCGCCACATATTATTAATAAAGAGAGTCTAGGGATCAAAATGATGAAATTACAGAAATCAGAGTTCATTCAAAAGGTGCATAAAGAGTCATTTAATGAGACAGGAGTCAGAAGACACGTCTTTATGCACTTACTTTAAAGCAATAACTTTCTTTTGCCCGATAGTTTATTTGCAGACGGCAGCCATAGTGCGTCATGCAACTAACAAATGATACACTATTATTGTGTCACGCTTTATGCATCGTTATACATGTACTCAAGCCGATATATATCATCATAGATTATTGCTTTGTTCAAATGCATTTGTGTATGCACAACCAACATACGTTGCTAATTATAAAGTAGAAATGTGAATACAGGCACGAGCTGGGGTAATACACTTGCTCCACTCACCTTCTCTTTGACCAGTATTTTACAAACCAAAATGCACACAGGATGCCAGTAACAAGAATCACTGCTGACAGGCCTATTGTGATATACTTGATATCAAGCTTCGGCTGATCACCTGCTGAAAAACAAAACACCAACAGTGTGACTCGTCATTTCCAACGAATAGCAGAAGTTAAGAAATAACATTAGTAAACGAAAACAGTACATATTTAACTCCACACCATCGTACGCATAGGAATGAATCACACGTACGAGATCTACTCTGTATTTTCTGAAGTACACTTTTTATGTGTACATTTCGAAAACAATTTTATTCGCTCCTATTGTGAAAAGTATAGGATTTATTTCAGTATGTGCATCAGAGGCTGACGAATACACACGTATTAGTAATCATCTTTGATGTCATGATATGGGTTCAGCAAGAAAACATGGTGCATAGGATCCTTATGTAAAATGAATATTTGATTATAATAAACTTCAGACATGCAATGCAAACATTTATGATAAATCTGTAGGGCAGGCATCTATGAGACACTCGTGTGTACAGGTAGATTAGCCTCTGCGGTCAGTTTTATTACATATTTTCAGGTATTCCTGCCCTTTCTTTCTTAAGAATTGTGTTCGATTTTTTGTGCGTCAATGTCTTACCTGAACATGTTACGACTTTAAGGCAGACCTCCAAAGGGCAGTCTTTAGTACAGTTAGGTGTACATCCTTGGTCAATAATATTACATCCTCTGACGCAAGTTCCATATGTCTGATTACATATCCCGTCAAGACAAACTTCACAGGAGATGTTACAAAATGCAGCGTAATAACCGATAATGCAACCTTTGGCACAGGTTTCGTTTCCATAGCAAACATTTTCGAAGCATTTCTCAAGACAGGAGCAGTCAGTCCCAGCATACCCTGGAGCACAGCCAGCTGCACACGACCCTGACACAATGCAGGACATATCTGCACACTTCCGGTTACATCGAGAGGAGCAGTTTCCACCATACCATCCATCATTACAACCGTGGATACAGTCTCCAGTGTTGTTGTCACATTCGGGGATGCAGTTGATGGATGCATTTTGGTCACACTCCAAGTCAGAAGTTTTGTTGGGCCCAGGACGACAGTTGCCACTGCACACCTTATCACACCAATGACCATAGAAGCCAGGTTTACAGCCTCCGCCACATCCAGACACACAAGATCCTGCACAGTTCTCACATGACATCTCACAGTTCAGACCCTGGTATGGATCATGACAATCGTTACACATCCCTGTAGACCTGTTACATGACTTACATCTCTCAGAGCAATTCTTGCAGTCAAGGCCATAGTAGGAGTCGACACATCCAGAAACACAGGATGTCGAACTCAGCCAGCAGTATCCTCCATCACATCCACCTTCACACACCGTACACTGTGTCCCAGGGTTGTGGCATGGTATGTTGCAGCGTGTGCCCATGAATCCTGGAACACATCCCTCTGTGCAATACTCGATGCCCGTCTCTGCGAGTTCACACAACTGACGTTAGTCTGTCTCACAGTCCCTGAACAACATTATTTTCCCTACTGCCTAGCCCTCTCTGCAGTGCTAAAGCCCTAAATAAAGCAAGTCTAGATTTCCTCAGGTTCAGGGTCTGTTAACATCTGCAAGAAAATTAACTCACTTTGGGGGTCGGGTTACAAAGTAAACATATCTAACTATCATGGCTGGCCGGACCAACATCCTCACCAGTGGTCTGGAATCTTGCCTCACATTTTCATCTGTTAACTCTTAATTAACAAGCACACTGGGTGACATGAAGCTATAGTGGAGGCCTTGTGCACAGTTTCTGGTTTGAAGAGACAAATCAAGCGAAATCTTGGGGAAAGGTTACTCCTGAATGTTATGTTGTATAAAGTATTGTTTCATTGTCCAACTTGGGTCCACACATAGCAGCCCAATTGTAAATGCGGTTAAGGATTTAATTGTAATTAAAACAAGGGTTATTTTTCTTATTTCTGATATAAGATTATTGTGTGAAACTCTGGTGTGTTTTGAGTATCTCTTTTTATCTAATTGCTCAACAGTAGAACATATGGCAGGGACCTAGCACTCATGAAGAGTGAGTGAGTGAGTGAGTTTGGGTTTACGCTGCATTCAGTAATATTCCATATATGGCGGCGGTCTGTAAATAAGTCGAATCTGGACCAGACAATCCAGTGGTCAACAGCATGAGCATCTACGCAATTGGGATACAATGACATGTGTCAACCAAGTCAGCAAGTCTGACCACCCGACCCTGTTAGTCGGAAGAACCAAATTCAAAAGGCACAGCATCTCGGAATTAAATCTGTTTACCTTCGTGATGTGACGCATGCAAGGTAAAATCTAGTGAGGATGATCTAGTATCTAGAAATACCCAGTACATCTTCAAGCGTAAGACAGACGCTTGCCTTTTCACTTCCATTGAACAGTTTGTTTAAAAAATGGTGGTTATCTATATCAGCTTCGCATATTATACAAATGGAAACTTTTGAATTTGGAGATAAGTTCAAATTCATAAATAATTTTGTTGGTGTTCCACACTGATCTTGCACCTTGGTCATCTAGTGTCCAAGTGACATTGTGGGCTGCAAGTTTCCCAACAGTAAAATGTTAGGCAGTAGGGCACTTGACCGGCCCACATGAGGTGATGACAGCATGGAGATAGGACAGGGCTTAACAGGAGGGCCAATAAATATGCCTTTCACTTATAGCGTTATCTGATGGTTGTATGATGTGACTTCTAATTGGTAATGACCCCAGCACGTGTAGCCCCAATGCAGATGTTCTTAGTCTCTGAATCTCTGGTCTCCCTAGGGCTCCTTTTCAATATAAATGGGCTTGTTTGTTACTATCCAAATTATATATATTCAGAGACTAAGCCTTAGTCTAGGGCTATCGCCTGATGACACAAGATGAGAAATTACTTGTATACATACTAAATACAACTGGAATATTCATATCACACACACGCACAAAAACACGCTCGCACACAAACACTCACACTCACGCTTAATCGCTTTTTAATCTGGTAGATAAAATATCCCCACAGGTGATTTTAAGTCGACATGTGTTCAGTTCGACTAACTTTGTGAATATCTATTCATATATAACGTGCTTGTAATAACATTTCTCATATACTGATCTTACCATTTGATGATGAACAATGAAGACTTAGTAAACTTACCTCGTGTAATCAGTACAGTGAATGCTAAACACAGAATCGCCAAAGACGTCACGAAGTATCTAAAAATAGAAAGCAGCTGTATGCTCATATTCCATATATCATCATAGCAAACATATTTTGGAACTGATATTTTATACATTAAACATAACTCACTGGTGACGAGCGAGGAACATCTCCATTGCGGGTGCATCCAGCTGACTGATGCAGCCTAATGTGCGACCACCAGTCACGGACTCGGAGTTTATACTGCCGGTTAACTGTTATCTTCCGTTCAAGAGGGAAATAGAAATCAACCAGTCCATGTGCACACTGTGGGCGAGCTAAATTAATGAAAACAGTTTAACTGTCAGTTTTGCTTTTAGACGAAAACATCAATGTTATTTGGCTGCGTTATATCTCAAACAGACATCCAAATTGTATACTCGGTATTTGCCTTGGGTTATAGGTTTGCGTTTATATTACTGATTCTCTGAGAAGTAATTTAGTCGACCTGCATCATGTCGTGTTGTCAACCCAAGCAAGCACGCCTCAATATCACTGTAATACTACTCAAAGGGATAATGAAACAATATCACACGGATTTCATTCACACCAATACAAGTCTTAACCGCTCAAGAAAGGGAAGACGTACATATTGGTGGATAACATTAAGGACGTTGGGTTCGCCCAACTCGTTACGGCACCCGTTGCAGTTTACCGACGTTTATTTGGTGATCCTCATTCTCCGTCATTGTTCCATTCTGTCCATTACCGCATGGGTAGGTTTAATACATTGAATCAGTATAACATAACAGAGGAAGCCAAACTATTACACTATCAATCTTGGATTTGATTTTCGTAAAGCGTTTTTATTGTGAATATTTGGGAATTCATGAAATATTCTTTGTTTACACCTTTCCGTCAAGTATTTTGTGAAAAACGAGTGAGCTATATGTGTTTGTTTACGAACTGCTGTTGAGCATAAAAGCAACCTCTTTTAGCTGATGAAAACTCATGAAATATCATTTGCATACTGAAACATTTTGGTTGTAGTTTTCATATCCAGAGGACTCATTTTTGTCCTTGATTAACACTGAAGGTTTGTTCCCATACCGTAATAGCACAGGAATACTGACCAAAGATGTAACACGTTCACTCTGTCCCCATCAACATTCACCGCCAAAGAAACTTGTTGCCACTGTTGCCGTCGCCAGCGCATGTTCCGTTATAGGCCGTGAATTCGAGTTAATATGACATAAGGGCAACGACGTCTCATTGGTAGGAATACTGTATATAACAATATAGAGATTAATCATTGGGATGTTTTTCATTTCTCTCCTTTGTAATAATTAGAATTGGATTTCAGCAACCCATGCTTGTCGCAAGAGGCAACTAATGAGATCAGGTGTTTCAGGCTTACTGAACTGTTTGACACATATCAACGTATCCAAATTGCGTAGATCGATGCTCATGTTGTTGATCACTGGAGTGTCTGGTCCAGACTAGATTATTTAAAGACCGTCGGCATTATAGCTGGAACTTTGCAATGATATTTTTGAGGAGTGTATATTCACGTAATGTATTTGTTCTTTTCAAGTGCTGAGACAGTGGATAGCCTAGTGGGTATCGCGTTCGCTCGTAACGCTGAAGATCCGGGTTCGATTCCCGACATGTGTACAATCTGGAAAGCCCATTTCTGGTGTTCGGCAAGGTGGTATTGCTGAAATATTAAAGTGGCATAAAACCATACTCACACACTCACTCAGTATCTTCAAGTGAATTATGTCTTCAAGACGACTTCTTTATTGTCAGGAACCCGGCGTTTCGGAATATACCTACGTCTTGTAATGTAAGCTGTTATTTCTGTTTTCAGATTTTTTCCCTTTGCAAATGATATTTTTATATTGTTTTTTCTATTAATGTGTGTGTGTGTGTGTTCATGAATTTTATCGAGGCAGCATTAATGATGAGATAACAATGATAGCACTTAGGGGTTGGGGTGGGGTGGGGTGGTGAAGCATTTCGTATTTACTTAATAGTGATTCTGTTACAATCTAAGTACCTACTCTGCTAGGCCGCGCGGCTTCTAACAAAGTATTAAACATACAGAACAACGTATTGCTTAATACAGAACCCTATTTTGTGATAGGTTGGTTGGTTTGTTGTTTAACGCCGGACTCAGCAGTATTCCAGCTGTATGGTGGCGGTCTGCAAATAACCGAGTGTGGACCAGACAATCCAGTAATAAGCATCATGAGTGAACATCGATCTACGCAACTAGGACACGATGACAAGTCAGTGATCCCGTTAGTCGCCTCTTACGACAAGCATGTGTTACTGAAGACCAATTCTGACTCGGATCTTCACGGGGAAAGGGTTGTGGTTTTCGTTGATGTAAGGTAAGTAGTGTCACCCTTTAGCATTTGTGTATAGTTGTACCTTATTTGTTCCCACGTCTAGTAGACCGCCCGTAGTGTAGTGGTTAGAGTGTCCGACAGGAGATCGGAAGGTCGCGGGTTCGATCCCCGGTCGCGTCATGGCAAAAGTCGTTAAAATATGGTACTTGTTGGTCCTGGTGCTCGACATTAATGGGTACAACAAGGACTGGTAGGCTCGGAGTCAGTATAATGTGTCTGAGCTTCAGTCTTGGCTAGTATAAGAAGCCACACATACACATACACACGCATGCACGTCGTCATATGAGCGAAATATTCTCAAGCACGATGTAAAAACCCCACTTCATCTCACCAAGTATGCAAGCATTTTTAGTATTGGTGATTTAAATGAGAAAATGAATTTGTGAGTGGCTGTCCCTTCGAAGGGGGTTGACGTAGCGTAAAAATATTGTCCTCTGAGAGGGTACGTAAGTCCAAAAACATTTCAAGTAAATTTAAGTCTACCAGGTTTTTAATCGTAGTATATTTGTCATTTTAATGTATTTCTGAATCTCAGCATAAACGCCAATGGCTGAAAGGATTGTGTATATCCAGCTAGGGTCCATGCAGGTAGCAAAGGCACTGTAAGTCCCCATGGTCCCTGGTATGGTGATCTACTTTCAGTTGTTGGCGATTACTAGCCCATTTGTCCCAAAATAGTTTTCTACTTTTAAAGATATATGCTAACTAGTTTTAACTCAATCTGTGATAATCTAGTGGTTTTACTGTCCTTCGTTGACAGGGTTTTATATATTATATGTATTACTATGTATTGTGAATATAGAACTAGTTTTAGTCAGAATATGGCTGAAATATTGCCGATGTGACTTTAAATGTTAACTCACTCACTCACTCACCTCACCAACTCGCTTATAACAAACTGGTTTCAGTGCCCCACCCATAAGCTTCATATTTAAGTCGAACTGTGCCTTCAAAAGCGAAACAAGATGTACGAGTATAAGGAACTAGACTTAGTGGGGCCCTTTGAGTTCGTTATAACCGTATTATACTAATCAGTACATATTGCAATTCTGTATAAACCCCATATTGTACCGTTTACCCCACCCATTTTACCGTTATTCTGGTTCGTCTGGGAAAATGTACATTTACACTCGTGTTTGTCGGTGGATGTTATAAAACAAACAGTAATGGTTACTCTGTGTTTGGATGCTACGGTTAGGTCTACTAATGCCTACAGGGAATAATAGCTACAACGTTTGCAGTGACAGCGATACGCTTACCTGCACACAAGTAGATTGTTCCACTTAGTGTGCACTATTGCCTACAAAGGGATTAGGGGAGGCCAGCAAGGAGAGTAAAGAGTAAGATCAAGAGTATTAAATCGTTAGCTAGCTTATGTTTTGATAATTCCATACGCATTTAGTTCTCACACGAGAAGGAAATTGAAGAGTAAAGTAATTAATAGAGAGATTATTAAAGGGAGAAGGAAATGTATTGCTTTAAAATTGAAGAATAGAGTAATTAATTGAGAGATTATTAAAGGGAGAAGGAAATGTATTGCTTTAAAATGCTTGTGATACAAATCTTCATTGCAAATCATGGCAAATCCCAAGAAAGTCGAATACTTCACATCACAGAAAGGAGGACAGCAGGTACTCTTGGAGGGATACCGCTACAGACTCAACAACAGGCGACAGACGTGTGTACACTGGAAGTGTGTTCAAGGTGACTGCTTTGGCAAGTGTACGACAGTCGGACAGTTTGTTCGGAATCAGACCCCACACGACCACCCACAAGAAGACCAGGTAGCCCTGAAGATTGCCAGTTCCCTGAGGCAGCGGGTACAGACTGAGACGACGCCAGTTCAGGTGATCTACGATGAGGAGATTTCCCGACTTGACCGAGGTGAAGCAGCAGCAGTCAAGTCGTTCCATTCTATGAAGAGTGGACTCTACAAGCAGAGACGGAAGATGATGCCGCCACTTCCCCAGACGCTCAGCGAGGTGAATCTACCCGACTTCTTCAAGGAGACTACAGATGGACTGCCCTTCCTCTGCATTGATGACGGTGATGATGACAAGATTCTCTGCTTCGCCACAAGTGACCGCCTGACCCTCCTGCAAGAAGTGGACACCCTCTACATGGACGGCACCTTCTACTCCTGTCCTCCTCTCTGGGATCAGCTGTACGTCATCCATGGCCTAGTCGGAGGAAGATGACCCAGTTGGTCTTCTGTCTACTGCCGAATCGTCAACGCCGCACCTATGAACGCCTGCTACGTCTCCTGAACGACAAGATCCAGCAGACAACAGGATCGCCCTTCAACCTGATGTCATCCAGACGGATTTCGAAATCGCTGCCATCAACGCTGTTGAGACCGTCTTCCCCAACTGCGACGTCCGTGGATGCTATTTCCACTACAGCCAGGCTCTCTGGAGGAAAGTACAGAACCTCAGCTTCAGCGAAGCCTACCAGCAGGATCCTGAGGTCCACAGATGGGTCCGACGAGCAGCAGCACTCCCCCTCCTCCCAGTGGCCATGGTACAACATGCCTGGATAGAGGTCATGGACGACGCCCCTGCCATTGGACAGAAGGATGAGTTCCAGGACTACATCACCAGCACCTGGGTAGACGACCATGCACGGTTCCGAGCCGGACTATGGAATCACCACGACACCAGCGGCCCAAGAACGAACAATCATCTCGAGGGTTGGCATTCGCATCTCAACAAGACCGTCCAGAGAGCCCACCCGAACATTTTCGCTCTTGTGAAGGTTCTGCAGAAGCTGGAGAAAGCGGAGAGAAATAAGCTGGTGCAGATGGCTCATGGCGCCCGTCCCCACCCGCAAGAGGACGTACACAGAAATTGACCAGAGACTCACTCGTCTGAAGGCCCAGCTGACATCTGGTATCAAGACACCCCTGGAATTCCTGACTGCTGCAGGATATTTGATCAAGCTAGCTTGAAAACCACATGACTATGTTGATGAATGTGTGAAACTGTGTGTATACATGTAAATTACTTTTGGTTACCACAATGACTTTATTAATGAATGTGGTAGTTGACTGTGTGAAAGATGTATATATGTATATATAATCATGAATCAAATTAAGTTTTAATTACATTTTAATCCAAATAAATGATTATGTTTATTTATGTAAATTTATTTATCTCAAAACAAACTACTATGTGAAAGATATGAATAAAGTTTAAGAAAATTAAGAAAAATATGACAACAATGTGAAAGATATGTATATGAATGTACATATGTATATGAATGACCAACTAAATGTCTCTCAACATGGAAAGTTACTGTTTTCTATATACTGTAGGCATTAGTGCACTTTGAAATAGGACCATGCCACTTTATTGAAAGGTTGAAGGCAGGTGCAATCAGCAGCACTGGTGCGTAAAGTTGTTTATTTAACACTGTAGGCATTATTCACTGTAGGCATTAGTAGACTCCACCGATGCTACAGGCGATATTACTTGGGTATCTCGTAACAGTGACTTGATTGTTACGCCGCTTGTAACAATATTCCAGCAATATAATGGTGAGGGACACCAGAAATGGGCTTCACACATTGTACCCATGTCGGGAATCGAATCCGGGCCTTCGGCGTGACGAGCGAACGCCTTAACCATTAAGCCATACCCCACCGCCTCATCTCCATATAACGTGTTAATGACGTCTCAGGGAACACGGGGTCACAGTTGTTGAGTACAAAGTAATAAGCAGAGGCAAGTGTGAATTAACAAGGTGACCTCAATTTCCTCAAACTGTACCTCCTCGTCTAGTACAGTTTTAAGGGTGTAAGTTTTGTGTTTTGTTACTTTCTTTGTCTGGGGCGTTCACTCGTCACGCTGAAGACCCGGGTTCGATTCCCCACGTGGGTACAGTGTGTGAAACCCATTTCTGTTGTCCCCCGCCTTGAAATTGCTGAAATACTGCTAAAAGCGGCGTAAAACTAAACTCCCTCTTTGGTGTTGAAAAACTTGAAGGTACCTCAACTTTTGTTTCACTTTTCCTTCGTTTCGCTTCGAACACACAAGTCACGTTTCATCTCACTCGTCAATCATCTTGAACAAAAGGGGTGTTTATTGTCTTTGTATACTTTTTACACAAATGTTATTGATATGGTACTCTTGAAAACTTTTTACTTTCATTTGGTTTCTAAAAACGGATCGTCATCATTGAAGAACGAGTGTATACCACTTTTAAGTTACCCTTGATTTACATACTTAAATACATAGGACACAGATACAAGCCAAGACTCCAACATCAATGAAAACCAGCAAAAAAAATTTCAGGGCTTGAATGTCTCCATGCTGATCTAACATGAAGGGTTCAGAAGGACCATGAAAATGGAAGTCATGCTTCCTGTCATGAGGTCTTTCTGGTGATTTTCTGTCAATCTGATTGTGTATCCTATAAGAAATATATGCGACTTTTTGCTGTTCTTCTTTCGTTTCTATTTCAAGAGCTCACGAAGAGCAAAAGCTTTAGGAGGGACCTAACTATTTGAGCATTATTGAATGATTTCATGTCAGCTTAAGTTAAACGTCTTGGTCAAAATCCTTGTTTCCCATTTGCCAAGAAAAAGCAAGAATTTCTATTTGACATAGATATTTATTAGATAATAGAATACAACAAGGAAATATGTGCCATGTTAGTTTACATTACATAAATCTTCAATACTATGCAAAAGAAGTAGGGGATAGTGGGAATCATCAACAAGCACCGCCTAATCCATGTGATATTCTCAAATGGATGGAAATGCTCATATATGCGTGGGGATAGATCTGATGGAGTCGAATGGTTTGCTTGATGAGATGCTGGTAGAGACTAGGTCATTAAAGTGGTATGGGCTCCAACTTTGCACTTTGCTTCCAACATCACTAATATAAGGTGACAAACATATCTATTGGAGAGGCATTAATGGATTAATCGGGGCATGCTTCTAATGAGTCGCCGTTGTCACCTTGACTCATGTTGTTGCCCAAGAAAGTGTAATCATATTTTACTTGTCCATTTCTGACGTTTCAATAGACGTGATTAGATGTCACTTGACCGGAGACTAGCGACATGTGCTGAGCAGGTTAGACGACTGATCTTGTGTGCTGACGATTAGATGCCTGACTCTGAGGGTGTAGATTCGAATCCCGGATGGGACTCAACCTAACAAAAGTACTAGAATCTGTACTTTACTAAGAAAGTGTAATCCCAAATATGACATATTTTACATTTGACCACGTTCTAAATGACATTGCTCATATGAAATCATATCTATCACCCAGACTTTATGACAAGTCCCTGACTGCAACGGAACGTAGGTCAGGTCATAAGGGAATTTGTTATTAAGATGTAAGGTAAAGAAACATTCGCAGTCTGTTCTGAACATTGATGTACATAAACGACGTATTATCAAACCTTTATTTCGTTCGTAGAAAGCAATACGCATTGCTATCATGATGCCAGTTAGACAAAGCAAACACGCTGCTAATGCCCCGATGGTGATTGCGAACAGTGGATGGCTCTCACTTATGGGCTCTGAGGAAATAGAAATTAAAGTCAACATTGTCTATCTTACATGGTAACATGGTCTGTACGATCCACTTTAACTATGTTCACATGAATATTTGAATGTATTAAATTCACACGAATGACATGTGAGGCAAGCATCTATGCATACAGGAAGAAGATTAACATCTGCAGTCAATAATATTACATACTTCAATGCACGTTCCTGAATTCGTAACAAAAATGTTCTTCTTACTTTGTGCTTCAAAGTCTTACCTGAACATGTTCCGACTTCAAGGCAGACCTCCAAAGGACAGTCTTTAGTACAGTTAGATGTGCATGTCTGGTCAGTATTATTACATCCTCTGATGCAGGTTCCATGTGTCCGATCACATACACCGTCAAGACAGACGTCACAGGAGATGTTGCAAAATGCACCATAATATCCATTGATGCAACCTTTTTGGCACAGGTTCCGTTGTTTGGATGACAAACATGATGGATGCAGTTCTCAAAGCAGGAGCAGTCAGTCCCAGCATACCCTGGAGCACAGCCAGCTGCACACGACCCTGACACAGTGCAGGACATATCTGTACACTTCCGGCTACATCGAGAGGAGCAGTTCTCACCATACCATCCGTCATTACAACCGTGGATACAGTCTCCTGTGTTGTTGTCACATTCGGGGATGCAATTGATGGATGTATTTTGGTCACACTCCAAGACAGAAACTGCAGTTTTGTTGGGCCCAGGACGACAGTTTTCACTGCACACCTTATCACACCAATGACCATAGAAGCCAGGTTTACAGCCTTCGTCACATCCAGACACACAAGATCCTGCACAGTTCTCACATGACATCTCACAGTTCAGACCCCGGTATGGATCACGACAATCGTTACACATTCCTGTAGACCTGTTACATGACTTACATCTCTCAGAGCAGTCCTTACAGTCAAGGCCATAGTAGGAGTCGACACATCCAGAAACACAGGATGTAGAACTGAGCCAACAGTATCCTCCATCACATCCACCTTCACACACCGTGCACTGTGTCTTAGGCTTGTCACATGGTATCTTGCAGCTTGTACCCATGTATCCCGGAACACATCCATCCGTGCAATACTCGATGCCCGTCTCTGCGAGTTCACACAACTGATTTTCACATCCTCTGCTGCACTCTGACATGCATCTCGTGCCAAAGTATCCGACCTCACATGGTTTTGAGCAGTCTCCGTTATTGTCACAATCTGGACAATGCTGACCATTACCGCATTGCGTTGCTGTAAACAAAGAATAATAGAATCAGTATTCAGGTCATGACACAGATGGGGAAGCATAAAACTGACACGATCAAGGCAGGACTCATCAAACATGGGACACTTATGTTTCTTCAATATGCATCAAGTTGTATATTTCGTCACACACACACACAAATATATATATCATGATACCTAGATTTCAGACGTTTTTTGAAATGTGAACGAGCAAATTGAGCTGGTAATAAATTAATGTTTAAGCTTGAGTTCACTACAGTCAAAACGTGTTGTCTCATAATCGTGTTAACTATGGACATTGTTCGTGCTATTGCCTGATCAAGCCATCAGACACAAGATGGGAGAAATTACTTGTATACAATACGAAATACAACTAGAATATTCATGTCACACGCATGCACAAAAAACGCGATCGGACAGATACACTCACACTCACAGTTAATCGCTTTTTAATCTGGCGGATAAAATATCCCTATAAGTGATGTTTAAGTCGGCATTTGTTCAGTTCAACTATATTTGTTAATATCTAGTCATTTCTAAAGGGTTAGTAATAAAGTATCTCATATACCCATCTTACCATTCTATGATAGAAGGCATAGTACACTTACCTCGTGTAATCAGTACAGTGAGTGCTAAACACAGAATCGCCAAAGCCGTCAGGAAGTATCTAAAATAGAAAACAGTGGTATGCTCACATTCCATTTATCATCAAAACAAACAGATTTTGGAACTGATGTTTTATACTTTAAGCCTACTCACTGGTGATGAGAGAGGAACATCTCCATTGCGGGTGCATCCAGCTGGCTCATGCAGCCTAATGTGTGACCACCAGTCACGGATTCGGAATTTATACTGCCGGTTAACTGTAATCTTCCGTTCAAGGGGGGAAATATAAATTAACCAGTCCAAGTGCACACTGTGGGCGAATAAATTAAAGCAAACTGTTTTACTGTCAGTTTTTCTTTTAGACTATAACATCAATTTTATTTAGCTATGTTATACCTCAAACAGACATGCAAACGATGCTCGGTATTTGCCTTGGTTATCACTATTGGTTTGCGTTTACATTACTGATGGTGAGAGGAGTAATTTGGTGGACCTGCCTTATGTCGGGCTCTCAGCGTAAGCTGACACGCTTTAATATAAATAATACTGCTCAAAGGGGTAGTGAAACGATCTGTCAAGGTTTACATTCACACCAAATACAAAGATACTTAACTGTCAAAGAAAGGGAAGACGTACATAATTGTGGATAGCATTAAGGACGCTTTGTGCACACAAATCGCTACGGAGCCCTTTGCTGTTTACCGACGTTGATTTGGTGATCCTCAGCTATTATCACATTCTCAGAAGTGATGTCCACTACTGCATGGGTAGGATTAAAACATTGAATCAATTTGGCTAATATTTTCGTAAAGCTTATTTATGATGCATATTTTGTCATTAATGTCATATTTCGTGCACCTCCACGTCAAGTATTTTGAGAAAAACGAATGAGTTTTGTTTACGAATTTGATGTTTCAGCATAACGTCAACCTCTTTTGACTGTTGAAAACAGTTCAACCATCATTTGCGTACTAAAACATTATGTTGTTGTAGTTTTGATACCCACAATACTCAATATTGGCCTTGATTATCACTTTAGGTTTGTTTCCATACCGCAAAAGCACATACATATTTATCAAAGAGGGGATGTAACACATTCATTCAGTCTCCATTGAGATTCAGGCCTAGCATCGAATGCAAATTTACTTATCCTATAGAGAAATGCGTGATGCTCGTAAATTGCGGATGGCGTGGAGGCCATGGCAGGTATTTGGATAATGTCGAAAAATACTAACAGAGAAAATACGACACGAATCAAACACTGACGGAACACAAGAAGCACGGTTCTGTGATGAAAACTGAGGCTTCCTCACACCATGATGCCTCCTCCACCCCGCCAGCTTGTAAGAAGCATCAGTTATGGTATCCATGGTATCCATCATCTGATACAGCGATCCACGAAACATTGAACCATGATTTGCCTGAGACAACAACTTGTTGCCACTGTCGACGTCGCCAACGCATGTTCCGTTATAGGCGCTGAATTTGAGTCCATATAGGCCTGGCGTAAGGGCAATGATGTCTTAGTACTGTGTATGACAGTTTAGATATTAATCACTGAGGTGTTTTTAGTTTCTTTCCTTTGCAATGATCTGAACTGGTCTTCATCAACCTCTGCTTGTCGTAACGGGATAGGGTGACTTGTTGATTTGGTTGTCATCGTATCCCAAATGCTCAGATTGCTGCCCATGCTGTTGATCACTGGATTGTCTGGTCCAGGCTCGAACATTTAGAGACGGCCGCCATATAAGTGGAATATTGCTGAATGCCAAGGTAAACAACAACCAATCCACACTAAGCTCTAGTAAGGACTGTTGGTGTATACAGTGTTATATTGACCACATTACACACTCAGCTCTAGTCAGGACTGTCAGTGTATACAGTTTTATATTGACCACATGACACACTCAGCTGTAGTCAGGACTGTCGGTGTATACAGCGTTATATTGACCACTTGACACACTGACCACTAGTCAGGACTGTCGGTGTATACAGTGTTATATATATTGACCACTTGACACACTCAGCTCTAGTCAGGACTGTCAGTGTATACAGTGTTATATTGACCACATGACAAACTCAGCTCTAGTCAGGGCTGTCAGTGTACACAGTGTCATAATGACCACTTGACACACTCAGCTGTAGTCAGGACTGTCGGTGTATACAGTGTTATATTGACCACATGACACACGGGACTGGTATACAGTGTTATATTGACCACTTGACACACTCAGCTCTAGTCGGTGTATACAGTGTTATATTGACCACATTGACACACTCAGCTCTAGTCAGGACTGTCAGTGTATACAGTGTTATATTGACCACATGACACACTCAGCTCTAGTCAGGACTGTCAGTGTATACAGTGTTATATTGACCACATGACACACTCAGCTCTAGTCAGGACTGTCAGTGTATACAGTGTTATATTGACCACTTGACACACTCAGCTCTAGTCAGGACTGTCAGTGTATACAGTGTTATATTGACCACAGGACTGTCAGGACTGTAGTGTATACAGTGTTATATTGACCACATTGACACACTCAGCTCTAGTCAGGACTGTCAGTGTATACAGTGTTATATTGACCACATGACACACTCAGCTCTAGTCAGGACTGTCAGTGTATACAGTGTTATATTGACCACATGACACACTCAGCTCTCTAGTCAGGACTGTCAGTGTATACAGTGTTATATTGACCACACTGACACACTCAGCTCTAGTCAGGACTGTCAGTGTATACAGTGTTATATTGACCACATGACACACTCAGCTCTAGTCAGGACTGTCAGTGTATACAGTGTTATATTGACCACATGACACACTCAGCTCTAGTCAGGACTGTCAGTGTATACAGTGTTATATTGACCCCATGACACACTCAGCTCTAGTCAGGACTGTCAGTGTATACAGTGTTATATTGTGTTATATTGATGACACACTCAGCTCTAGTCAGGACTGTCAGTGTATACAGTGTTATATTGACCACATGACACACTCAGCTCTAGTCAGGACTGTCAGTGTATACAGTGTTATATTGACCACATGACACACTCAGCTCTAGTCAGGACTGTCAGTGTATACAGTGTTATATTGACCACTTGACACACTCAGCTCTAGTCAGGACTGTCAGTGTATACAGTGTTATATTGACCACATGACACACACTCAGCTCTAGTCAGGACTGTCAGTGTATACAGTGTTATATTGACCACTTGACACACTCAGCTCTAGTCAGGACTGTCAGTGTATACAGTGTTATATTGACCACTTGACACACTCAGCTCTAGTCAGGACTGTCAGTGTATACAGTGTTATATTGACCACATGACACACTCAGCTCTAGTCAGGACTGTCAGTGTATACAGTGTTGACCATGACACACTGAGTCACTGTCAGTGTATACAGTGTTATATTGACCTCAGCTCTAGTCAGGACTGTCAGTGTATACAGTGTTATATTGACCACATGACACACTCAGCTCTAGTCAGGACTGTCAGTGTATACAGTGTTATATTGACCACATGACACACTCAGCTCTAGTCAGGACTGTCAGTGTATACAGTGTTATATTGACCACATGACACACTCAGCTCTAGTCAGGACTGTCAGTGTATACAGTGTTATATTGACCACATGACACACTCAGCTCTAGTCAGGACTGTCAGTGTATACAGTGTTATATTGACCACTTGACACACTCAGCTCTAGTCAGGACTGTCAGTGTATACAGTGTTATATTGACCACATGACACACTCAGCTCTAGTCAGGACTGTCAGTGTATACAGTGTTATATTGACCACTTTGACACACTCAGCTCTAGTCAGGACTGTCAGTGTATACAGTGTTATATTGACCACATGACACACTCAGCTCTAGTCAGGACTGTCAGTGTATACAGTGTTATATTGACCACATGACACACTGACCACAGCTCTAGCTCTAGTCAGGACTGTCAGTGTATACAGTGTTATATTGACCACATGACACACTCAGCTCTAGTCAGGACTGTCAGTGTATACAGTGTTATATTGACCACATGACACACACTCACTCAGCTCTAGTCAGGACTGTCAGTCAGGACTACAGTGTATACAGTGTTATATTGACCACATGACACACTCAGCAGTAGTCAAGACTGTCAGTGTTTACAGTTTTATACTGACCACTTGACACACTCAGCTCTAGTCAGGACTGTCAGTATATGGAGTGTGATATTGACCACATGACACACTCAGCTCTAGTCAGGACTGTCAGTGTATACAGTGTTATATTGACCACATGACACACTCAGCTCTAGTCAGGACTGTCAGTGTATACAGTGTTATATTGACCACATGACACACTCAGCTCTAGTCAGGACTGTCAGTGTATACAGTGTTATATTGACCACATGACACACTCAGCTCTAGTCAGGACTGTCGGTGTATACAGTGTTATATTGACCACATGACACACTCAGCTCTAGTCAGGACTGTCAGTGTATACAGTGTTATATTGACCACATGACACACTCAGCTCTAGTCAGGACTGTCAGTGTATACAGTGTTATATTGACCACTTGACACACTCAGCTCTAGTCAGGACTGTCAGTGTATACAGTGTTATATTGACCACATGACACACTCAGCTCTAGTCAGGACTGTCAGTGTATACAGTGTTATATTGACCACATGACACACTCAGCTCTAGTCAGGACTGTCAGTGTATACAGTGTTATATTGACCACATGACACACTCAGCTCTAGTCAGGACTGTCAGTGTATACAGTGTTATATTGACCACATGACACACTCAGCTCTAGTCAGGACTGTCAGTGTATACAGTGTTATATTGACCACTTGACACACTCAGCTCTAGTCAGGACTGTCAGTGTATACAGTGTTATATTGACCACATGACACACTCAGCTCTAGTCAGGACTGTCAGTGTATACAGTGTTATATTGACCACTTGACACACTCAGCTCTAGTCAGGACTGTCAGTGTATACAGTGTTATATTGACCACATGACACACTCAGCTCTAGTCAGGACTGTCAGTGTATA